CCCCAAAACCCCAAAACCCCAAAACCCCAAAACCCCAAAACCCCAAAACCCCTTTTAGAGCAAGTTGAGTTGAATTATTTTTGGTGGTGAAGGGCTAAGGATGATTTTTGAGGGCGGGAGTTTTGGATGTGCTGAAGGAGGTGAGTAGAGGTGTTTAAAGGTAATCTGAGCCTCTAGAGGAAGGATTAGAAGAAGAATAGATTTATATGGAAGTTTATAGAAATTTGGTGAAGGGAAAGGTGATGTAAGAAGGGGGCTTTTTTGAGTTATAATACTTACTTCTAATCTATTCCATACAATTTTTGAGCTTCTTATTTTCAATTTCTCACTAGGCTCACATTTCAATTGGTTAATATCCTCTTTCACTCAAAACCTGATCATGCTGATTCTCTTTGACTGGCTCTCTTGACTATCTATAACGAAATTTACAAGATCTTCATATAATCCCTCAAAAACTGGACTAACCTGTATTATTTTTGACAACAATAACTTGATCCTTCCTTCCCATTTTTGCTACAAGTTGTTTATTATACTCAATATAATTCTTGCTAGCTTTTGCATCTGAATCTTGCACTGCTTCATTCTCCTTCAAACGATGACTAACGTGTATCTTTCCATAAGTATTGGACTGCAAACTTTGATTAAGAGTGCTATCCCTCAGCTCAATCTGGTTATTTAATTATGGAAGGATCATTGACACTTGTGCCTGACATAAAGCTCGTTCCTTCATGCACTAGAGAATCAAAGAGTCCGAAATACCCATTGTGCTAGAGCAATGTTCTCTAAACTTTGATCTTTTCTCTGCTTTTAAAAGGTCAATATTAAGTTGCTTGATCGATGCCTTTGCTAAAATAGTAATATACGAAAGCTTTACATGCGACTCTAGGAATTATCTCCTTTTTGTCAATAATCTTCTCAGCAACATTCTTAGCAGTTTTCCTTCGCTGAAACATGGCTGAAGAACCCTGAAGTTTAAATATCAACACGTACTCGTTTTGAGTATTTAGAGACCAAGTTCATTTGGTTAAAACTTTTCAAGCTGCTTGACTTTATCCCTGAGTCTGAGTTACTGAGCTGCTTGAAGATGTTCCTTTTCTTATTCTCTATCACAAAATTAACCAGCCGAAATACCTGAAGGGATGGATTTTATGATTTTTGAGCCATGAATCAGCTTTTCTCCTGACTAAATGTATGAGCAAGAATGCACCTGAAAACTATGAGCAAATTCTTCGAGGATCTCCCTAGAAGTAGCCTTACATCTCCTGATTTTAGGAGAGAGAGTTTGGGGTAACTTCTTAGTAAACTTAGACTTGATCCTAACCTTGTACTCTTGCTTAGGTATATCATTGATCATGTTGATGTCTGATTTACTCTCAATATCATCCACTTTAATGATATCATGAGGCTTTGCCAAGTCGATGTCAACATCAGAAAGAGTGTCCTTTCTCACCTCATCTGAAAGAAGCTGGTTCCTATCAGCACTGCTTCCAGTATTCTTGTGAAATCCTGAGCTCAAAATTTTCCTTCTTAAACACTTTTCCTGCATCGGTTCTGTAGCATCAGGAGTTTTAGAACGCAAGTTGGGGTTGGAAGAATCTCAAAATCCTTCAGAAGCTGCAGCACAGCCAACAACTTCTATTTTCTAAAACACTGGTTACAAAAATTTACCTGTGGCAAAGATTTCTTTGCCTGGCTCAGTCTGACTCTTTCAATGCTCTTTTTAAACTGGATTGGCGACAGCGATGAGATTGGCCGGTTACTTGTCAATTTCTGAATTCCTTCCTTTGTTGCTACTTTATGAACTTTTCTAGGCCTCAATGATAAACAATATTTACTTTTTCATCTTTTTACCCTATTTTCTTCTTACTAAGGTCTCCTAATGCAATGTTATGCTGGTTTTGAACAAGAAGTTAGAACTTTACCACTCTCTTTGTTGTTATAAACATCGGACAACTTATATTGATTGTCTAATTCGTTAAGGATGTACCTTACCAGTCTCTGTTTCAGGGTAATTGTACTCCTTCATCTCTTCAGGCTCATAAGCTGTAGTGACTATTGAACCTCTCTTATAATTTTTGTAGTCTTGATCAAACAAGTTATAGGAATTCTCTAGCACATTAGTTAGGCAGAATAATACCATCAATTTTTAACCCATTTCTTTGTTCGTCTAATATTTTAGTCGAAAACGTACCGATTTGAGAATTGCCAGCAGGCACATTCTGAATCCTCTTTGGCTCGGCAGCTTCAACATTTTGATGTAAGTTCAAATCTAGAGTTGATTTTGGAAATACCATTTGATAACAAATGTAATGGCTTTTTCGCTCTCCTCAAATTTGATGAACAGTTCACCTATTTGAGTTATTAATCAAGAGGGTAATCAGGCAGCCCTATTTATTGGGGATACTTACTCTTGAGATATTCAAGTCAAGATAACTGGCATCATTCATTCCGACATTTTTGCTCTGAGACAGTCTGGTGCTACTCTTCGCCATTCTCTTAATCCTTCATGCAGACTTTATCTTCTTTCTGCATTGCGTAGAGCTACTCGAAATCTTTCTTGACCCTAGATTTACGTTGGAAGTTGTATTTCTGAATTCCAGTGAATTTTCAATTGGTAAAACCGCACTATTATTATGCCTATGGACTATATAAGAAATTATTCTTGGACATTACCCTGATGACAGTTCTGCTGCATAAGTCTTTTATAAATAAGAGCTTGAGATTCAATGATCTTCTGTCTCTGATTTGTAATCTGCCGTTTCCGACCAACAATAAAGATAGGTTTCTCTACAGGCTTTGGAATTTCGCCTTTCATGACTAATATCTTGTTTGCTCTCTTATTTAATTTTCTTGAACTCAAAACTTTTAGTCTTTATTTGAACCCCATTTTCATGAGAAACCTCTAGAAATCAGCCTTAAGAAGTACTCTTGGGAAGCCCTTTGCTTGACCTGTGGTTATTTTTCCATAAAATTCCTAAGAGATTTAGTCAGAGATGCTTACCTTTTGGGATTATTTGACTACGGTTCTGCTTCTGTCTCCTCTGATAGCACATAATTGCCTTCAAATCTGTGGGAATATCCTGATTCATTGAGTAATCACCAACTTTATGTAGCGGAGAAACTCCTTTGGAGTTCTTGCTGCTCATGAATTCTGTTTCAAGATCTACTTTCTTGTGTAGAAGGTCTCATTGGGAACTGTTCAAGTTCCGCCTCTCCATTTTTATATCTATAGATGATGGAAGGAGGGTACCTCCATCCTTGGAAGGTGATAAATGATCGCTTGAAAAACTACTGATCTTCTGAGAGTTTGCTCTGAATATGCTCATCCTTGTCTCATTAAAAATTTTCACTGAGTTCTTCCTGTCATAACGAGACAAGTTCTCAGCTAGTACCTGGCACTGCTCTTGTAGCTGAGAGGAGGAATTTTCAGGAATCATTGCATTGCTCAAGTTATGAACTTCTAAATTTAAAATGAATTTAAGATAATAATTGAGATTCTTACCTTTTTGAGAGGCTCTTCTCTCCAAAAAGTCACTTTGATTTAATGCTTATAGCTTAAAACTCTGAGATACCTCGCTTTATGCTTGATTTACTACTAGGATTCACATTGATGTACTCAGTCTGGATCTTTTTCTGGTCAATAATGATATTTTGAGTCATTGTGTATTGGTAATTTGTACTCTCACTTCTGTCCAAAACCTCTGTTTTATTCAAATTTAATTTCCCCATTTCTAAATTTCACATAAGCTCAAATCCCAGGAGGAAGACTTACCACTGACTCGATTGTTAGGATGAGCGGAAGAGAGCAATCTATACGTAATCATGATGAAAAACCTATTCTTCCGAGTGTTGTTGGTAATAAGGTTCTTATACTTAGAAGCTTTGGAGCTGCATTTATTGTCAACACTTTTGTTATGATTATGCCTCTTCATTCTCCACATCAGGCCAGCTGATTTTGGCCTAATGTTGCTATGAAACAGATTTTTATGAGCCGTCCTCTCCTCCATCCTGAGCTGGAATGACTTGGTTGTCTTTATTTTACTCCCTTTGTATACAAAAGAAGGCTTTCGAGTAATTTCTAAAATTAGCTACATCACGAATACTGGTATTTTTGCGAAAATGAGAGGACTTTACCCTCCTTGTCTTCTTCACTGGCTTCTGTTTATAAGCACTACTTTCAACATTAGGTTGCTTCTCATTATGATCCGGCGCCACAGAGGATGGACAATGAGAATCCTCCTTCTTTATTTCCTTCTTCTGCATCTTAATTTCGCATTTTGGAATCTCAGGATGTGTCAGAATTACACTTCCATTACCCTCAAACGTGGATGAAATAAGGTTATTAGTTGGATGATTTCGAACAGCTGAGTACAGTATTGATGTCTTCTCCTGTCTCTCATTAGTGTTATACATCAATGTTGTAGTCTTCCTCTTGTGATTAAATTTTGAATTTAGAGGCTTCATATACCTATCATAATCTGTAGCATTCTTAGAGGATACATTCCTAGTCCTTTCCTGTTCTTTAGGGGCTTTCTCAGTATTTTCAGACATTGGCAATTTAAATCCTGATATTTATTAAAAAAATTCTAAAAAGGGGTTTTGGGGTTTTGGGGTTTTGGGGTTTTGGGG